CTCTCTCTCTCTCTCCCTCTCTCTCTCTCTCTCTCTCTCTCTCTCTCTCTCTCTCTCTCTCTCCCTCCCTTCTTTACAACAGGCAGTAGTTTTGGGGTTGGTCCACCCTCTCTCCACTTCTCTCCTCCCCTTGGCACAAAGGGATCTGAAAGCATGAGCTTCTAATCCCCCACCCATGTTCACAACCCCTGCTATTCAGTTCTCCCTTTCAGTGTCTATTTCCGACCGGTCGGCTGCCAGCTGTAACTGTTGTCTGGAGTTCAGTGATGACACAGCAATCAGGTCCTAATTGGGCATGGATATAGGGTTAGGAACTAGACTAGAATGAGGGGTAGAAAGATCAAAATGAGAGGAAAAGAGAAAGGGAGCAAAGCAATTGTGATTTATTTATTTATATTTTGGCTTTTAAATGAGATAATGGACTTTTTTCTTGGTTTTACGTTGGAGTTGGTGCATCTCTGTTATTGCTGGAAATAAATTACAAAGCTGCTTTTTATGTGCAGGAGTTTGGTGATGCAGTGATTCATACTGACAACAGCTTGTTTATTTGTTGCACCACCACATTTTCTTAGTTGTTGTTGTGGAGTAAGTTTAAATTTGTTTTGTTTTATTATTTCAGGGGCCAGTGGGTTGTGGTTTTTACTTTTTGAACATATTTTGGCATCATTTTCTGTGGTTTGACCTGGTGGACCTGTTACCTGAAATTTATTTCAAAGCCTTCAAAATTAATATTTAAAAATAATTAAATTAAGAAAATTATTTTTAAAAACTTTTAAAACTGTTCAAAAGAGTCAAATTCTACACTCTAGATGATTAATTTTGTCTACTCTTATCTGCAAGGTTTCAGCAGGGAAAATGTAAAAAGGATTTGCAATAAAACTTGAGAAAGATCTCTGAATTCTTCTTGAACAATCCACCACATTTCATTCATTTTTTTTAGAATCAAAGAAATTATGTAAATTATCCTATTGTAATGTACATTTAAGCAACTTCTGAAAGCATAGTCCAAATATCTGTTATGTAGTGTAGCTAAGACATTGAAAAATAATGTATGTGGAAATAATATCTTTTGAGTGACTGAAAAAAAGGGTTAAGTCATCCATAAATTATTCCTTGGATTTTATCAGTACTCTCTGAAGCAGTTTTGTTGGTGCTAGGTATAGCATCTTGCTTTGCTTGGCAGAAATGTTCCTCTGGAACACTTATCAGAGTATCAAACGTTATGCCTGATATCCCAAATGTCTTGGAAATAAACTCTACTTTTTCCTGATGTGATTTACCATAAAAAGGGATAATTGAAACTATCTATCTATATCTATATAGTCTATATACTATCTATATCTAGTACAACTATCTATATTCTAAATATTCTATCTATCTATCTATCTATCTATCTATCTATCTATCTATCTATCTATCTATCTATCTATCTATCTATCTATCTATCTATCTATCTATCTATCTATCTATCTATCTATCTATCTATCTATCTATCTATCTATCTATCTATCTATCTATCTATCTATCTATCTATCTATCTATCTATCTATCTATCTATCTATCTATCTATCTATCTATCTATCTATCTATCTATCTATCTATCTATCTATCTATCTATCTATCTATCTATCTATCTATCTATCTATCTATCTATCTATCTATCTATCTATCTATCTATCTATCTATCTATCTATCTATCTATCTATCTATCTATCTATCTATCTATCTATCTATCTATCTATCTATCTATCTATCTATCTATCTATCTATCTATCTATCTATCTATCTATCTATCTATCTATCTATCTATCTATCTATCTATCTATCTATCTATCTATCTATCTATCTATCTATCTATCTATCTATCTATCTATCTATCTATCTATCTATCTATCTATCTATCTATCTATCTATCTATCTATCTATCTATCTATCTATCTATCTATCTATCTATCTATCTATCTATCTATCTATCTATCTATCTATCTCTGTCTGTCTGTCTGTCTGTCTGTGATATCTAAGGGACTGTTTACACTTGGTCACTTAAAGTGTTTTAGTGATCGGATATCTATCTGATTTGTTCCATTTACACTAAATCTGTCTCTGCAAAATGTATATAAATCCGATAATCAATTCCAGTGCTGGTTCACATCAATGAAAGCAACAGATATGCGCTGCATTTTCTTCATCATCAGCCAATTTCAGGATCAAAGACCGCAATAGAAGAGAGTGCGGCATCAGCTCTTGTAAGATAATTTAGTCTCACTACTTTTAATTAAGATGATTGTGTGTTGAGCATCTGCAACTTACTTCCAGTTTCATTTGCGGCAGTTTGCACATTGGCTTGCTGAAGTGATACTCAGCTAGTCATCTGCAGTGATGCATTTACACTTGTCCAGTTTCGCCTGGAATGCATCCCAGACCACCTCCTGAAGTGGTTTGAGTGTTCAGATTTAAATCCATCTCAAAAGCGTTTCGGAGGGCATTTACACAAGGTCTTTTCACAATAACTATCTGATCAGAGAAAATGCATGAAGTGATCAGGTGTAAACAGGCCCTATGATAACGAATGTCACAAGCAACTGCTAAAAAAGTTAGATGTTGATAAATCCAGGGGTGTACATTTCAGTATGAGGTAATGATTATTCAGTATCAGTTACTATGGCAACACTGATTTATATAAGAGACACATGAAGTGGTGTCAGACCAAAAGACTAACCTCTTGAAAGTGATCTTTGATCAGAAATGTTATTAGATGTGAACATCATTTTTCCACATGCTAGTGGTGGGAAAAACTGCACCATATGTTGGTGATTTTTGCATTTGTTTTGTCTTATTCACAATGCCATTGAGCACTGTGGTTTGCATAGAGCTCTCTAATCTGTGTCATAGACTGTGTTAACTGTGTCAGATTCTTGGTCGAGGACTGTGTGCTTGGAGTTCATCCAAAACTAGTGTGTAACTGTGGGTTGCTTCTCTTTCCGTTGCTAATCCAAAACACGTGCAGCAATTCTAGTAAAATATTCTTTCTATGTGACTAATCAATGCTTTTCAAAAGCAAAATTGTCCATATAGGAAAATCAAGTGAAAAAGAGATTCTGACTAGATTTCTGTGGAAGTTGTTTGTAAGAGCAATTCTGCTAGATTGTTAACGATTTCCCTTCAGGTGAGGAAAGGAAAAGACAAAGTGATCTCAAACAAAAAGCTCCCAGACTGCTTCTCACTTCAGCAAGAAAACATCAGACTAGCATCTGTTACTAATCACTAATTAAGTGCAGAAGTGCAAAAAAATGCAGACATGGTTATATGTTTTACGCGGAGCGATGAAACGCAATGCGTAAAAAGACCGTATAAGTCATTATAATCCATAATTATATCCCCATTGGATGCAACAAATGCCTCGTTTATAATGGGTTTTAATGTTTTTGTCTCGTCGCTCCGGCCTGACACAGTATGGTAGGGCCGTAACATTTCCGTCACACACTTGAAGTATTCGGCCAATCACAACGCACTGGATAGCTGGCCAATCAGAGCACACCTCGCTTTTCAGACCGATGAGCTTTGTAAAAATCAACACTTTTCAGAAAGGCATAGGGGAGAAACAATAATGTACAGTATGTGGAAAATAATGTTTTTTGAACCTTAAACCGCATAAACACATTTCATTACACCAAATACACCAAATAATGCAACATCATATGACCCCTTTAAAATAGCTTGGGTTGCTAGACATGCTCAAAACTTTTTACATCACTTACAGGTGCTCTAACTGCAAACCAGACAAAAGCAGAAAAGCTCCGTGCTCAGTGCTGAAGTCATCGCAGCGAAGAGGACCATGACTGTCACTACAAATCAGAAATGTTTGACATGACTGGGCAACATGAAAGTTTTTACTCTGCTTGCAAGCATAAGCAGCTCATAAATGCAAATAAACATGGGTTTCAAGCTGTCTGGCATCTGACATGGGTCAATTCATTGCATCCCCATCAAAACTAGCACATATAGGCACTTTAATTTTTGTGATTCTTTAATTTCCCTTTCTTTTCGTCCCTGTACTTTCCATCTGTCTTTTATTTTTGTTCATTGAATGTTTTTGGTAACAAGGCGCTGTTGTACACGCCTGGGCTTTGAGCCACTTAATAGCACAAAGAGAACAGTTAGGGATATCTGTCTTTTTTCTGTTGTGACTAGGAAGCAC